TAAAATCTTCACAAAACCCGCTCTGATAAAATGATAATACTTAAGTTATAGTCATCTAACGTTAAATAAATATAGTTTAATGACAAATCATTTAGATCAGTGATCGAAATGCACCTAAATCGAGTAGATGCTGATCATACGGAACATTAAGTTTTACTTAAAAAACAGTCATTATACAGTTCAGGTCTGATTTGTGAGGTCAAATGTTAGGATGTATAAGTTCTATAAATGATAGTCATTCAATTTAATGAAACTAATACATATAAATCGTATATGTCTGATCTAAACACTGAACGGTAACATAGTAGTTATGACATCTGAATTAGATTTTATTTTGACAAATATGGTATTCTAAAACTTATAACTGTTTAGTATCTTCATAGGTACAAACTAAGTTGATATTTTAGTTTTAGAAAATGTTATTAAGATAAGAAAATGAGATTTTCCAACATTAATAGTGCCGTTCTGTTAAACTTCTTAAGAACTAGTTTATTGGCTATACTTAAGAATTAAAAAGAAACTTCTATATAGACCTAATGATTGATTGTAAGTGAACCCTTAGAAACAAACGATGAGAATCAGGATACCGTGAACTCCTAATAAAAAGTGTGTATCCACAACCCTACTGGGGATCAGACTGAAGCCCTTAGACTTGTGCGTACTCTCAAATCTCTAGGTTGTGTGATTACTAGTGAATAACTTCTAGAGGCAATTTGAAGAGTCCTAGTGCAAGGTTGTGATCAGCATAGTTAAACCATATCGAGTGTGAAGCGGTTATCCACTGCAGACAATGAACGATTGATGAGCAATATCGTAAACTGATTGAAGTTAGTTATGTACATTAGTGGATTCCGGCTGAAATGTTTAAAGAATAAACGCTTGCTGAAAGACTTAGTTTTTTAAATCATAATACTAACCAAATACTGACAAAAAATTTCACTATAACTACCAGTCTAAGTGACTTGACATGTTGATGTAATCTTCTTGAAATTAGATAGTTTTCAACAACCATCTGAGAGTTGGTTGACTACTTTTATTACAAAAAGGAGTTAAAAATTAAATTATTCATAAATATTTGGTTGGTTCGTTCATAAATTATAATCTCTCCGTGGTAGTAGTAGTAGTAGTAGTAGTAGTAGTAGTAGTAGTAGTAGTAGTAGTAGTAGTAGTAGTAGTAGTAGGAGGAGGAGGAGGAGGAGGAGGAGGAGGAGGAGGAGGAGGAATAGTAATTGTCATAACAATGCTTTCATATTCTTTTAATCTGTTTCTTACTATAATATATTGATCATTTTTTTAACCAAAACAGTGATAGCTAGTGCTTATGATAATACTCTACTTATCGATTCTCATTGAATTATTTTTTCTGGTTAGCGTTTTTAGCCAGTTTGTTTCCTACAGGATGGGGTCGCTAACCCTATGCTCAACCCTCCATCTTTTACCCGGACTTAGGACCGGCAGTAACACTAGAAGAGCTACAGACCGAGTGTTGGTGTGCGACCTATGTTTCTCCACAATTAGTCACAGGCTTCAGTAAATATCTATTATCGTAAGCCTGAATTAAACTTGTTCATACTTTTGCATTACCATCTTTTACTCATATCTATTAATTTATAGAGTATCGTAGGTAAATATATTTTATATAATAGATGATTCTATCCTAATAATAAAGTAAAACAAAATTCTAAATTCCAGTCAGTTATTTAATTCATTAACTAATCTAAACTATTTTTTAATGTTGATTTAATCATTTTCATTGTATATACATGAATAGACGTCATTGTAAACATCCTCATCCCCCTCCTCCTCGTCATCATCATCATCCAGAAAGCTTTTTTTCATTTCCCAGTAGTTTATTCATGAAAAAAGATAAATAGATTTTAAATGATTATTATTGTTGTTATGTCTATTGCGCAATAGACATTTAATGTTTGACATTTTATTAATAAAACGAAAACAGTTTAATCTATCGAAATTTATTTATCTTTGTTCCCACTTTTCCCTTAAACACAAAGATTGAAATGGATAGACATTCGTAAAGAGCAAAAAAGATAATTGTTTTGACGAGTAAGTTATTAAAACCAGATGAGGAATTTCACTTCATTCATTCATTCATGTTAGTCATTACTAATCTATTGGGGCTTTCCCGCATGGGTTCGAATTCCATCGCGGTCTCCAAATTTGCTATGTTTGGAGATATTAAAAGTTCACCTAATCTGAGAACGGAATGAAAACTCAGTGACACGATGACCAATAAGCTAGCTATTCCTATGCGTCCCTGCTCCGCTAACTAGAGAGATAATTTCAAGTTCAGAAGAGGGAAATATATTCCACAAGCATCCAGAAGCATGAAAAATTTCAATAAGCGAAACTCAAGCGTGTATATACAACATAAAAATGTCGTTGGGAAACACCACAAAATAACATAACAAAAGAGATAACGTGTCAGTTAGCATTTATGGTCCTCCTAAGTGGGAAATACAATATGAAGTTGAAAATAAGGCATTTACCATGTGAGTTCTAGGAATCTAAGATCTCCAACATTCATGTTTACTTCAATAATTTAAGCAATCTACTCATTGCTTTTGTGTAATTAAACCATGAAACATTGTCACTTGTATAAATGAAATGAGATCTATTATTGGAGAAATTTTATACCATTCAATGAAAAATAAAACACTTCATTTCATCAACAACAAACAAAAGATCACAGGAGAATAATTTGTAGTAGTAATAGTAGGAGGAGGAGGAGGAGGAGGAGGAGGAGGAGGATGACTAATTAATTAAAATATTCTATTCATTTCAGTCGTTAAGGTTTCGCTTATTTTGTTGTTCATACAAATATATAGTTATATAATATACCCTTGTGGGTCAAAGTAATTTTACATTGGTTTTCAAGAGAACCAGAAAGCATCCAGACTTTCACGTGACAACCCGAACAGCAAAGCGCAATCCTGTTTAACAGGAAAACAAGACACTATCCAGGTCTAAATGTTATAACCCGAGCAGTACAGCTCGATCAACCTTCACAGGAGAACTAGACACCGTATAGGCTTTAACGTTACAATCTGAATAGTACAGCTCAATCCTGTGGCAGAACCATACAGATGCCAAGCATTCTAGTGGACCATTCGCACCATTCATATACACATTCACGTCACATGTACAGTTATTCCGATCAATGATCGCGTGAATCAATTATGCACAGCGCAAGCAGGCCAAAGTTGACCTATTCCGCTTACACGACAGTCAAACTCATTAATATTAGCAATGGCGACATGCCTTACAATACCAGCTATTAATCTTATAAATCTGTTTTAAGGTACTTTTTGTTCGTTCCATCAGTCATAACTCATGAATCTCATCTAGTTTTGATCGACCGTAACTGCTAATGAATAAAAAGTAAATTGATGAGATTAAAATTCAACACGTATATGAAACATTCTAATAGGTCTCCTAATTCATAAAGGGTGCAGACGGATATAATCAACAAAATATTTAACGAATAATCTTATATGTGATACACAGCAATGACGATTATTCATTGGACTATATTTCAGGAACAAGTTATTTTGCTTGTTACTTAATCAGTACACCAGTTTCCTCTAACGGATAAACAAGGGTCTAATTCTTATTTAATGCTTTGTAATACAACGTTAAATCTTTTTCTGTATAGGTTAACATCAAACAATAAACTGAATGAAACAAACTAGGGAGAACAGGTGTTGAGTTGGCTTTGTTTTTCAAAAAAATTGCCTGCTAAAACCAGTTCTTTAGAAGCCCCTCTCCTATTTCACCGTTAATCATCAATCATAAGTAGCTTTAGAAAAAACTTAAAATTCTGATGAAAAACTGTAGCCAATGAGCACCAAGTAAATGAGGAATGAATTACATTTTGAATGATTGAAGTTAGACAAATAAATTAACTTTTGTTTGTTTAGTAATTCAAAAGTTTCATAGAGGCCCAGTAATATCTACCATCAAGAATAATACTATCCTCAGCCTCATAGTTTCTAATCATTTATCAACGAACTCAAATTTGTTAGTAACATTACTGTTAAATAAGGCGGCAATAGCAGGCTTTCTTATTAGCTTTTTAATTAGTAGTAATGTCAATGAGAAATTGTCATTCAAACAGTTGTATCAAGTGGCCCATTTCTTTTGTCTTATAAGATGATATTAAAAGCCTACTCGATAGCATATTAAGGTCTGTATTCGATTTGTAGGCTGATTATAAATGTATATAATTTACGGTAGTCTTAAAATCAAATCAAAATCTTATTCAATTATATGTATTGACATTCCAATGGATTTAAGTTTAGGATGATAGAATATCTTCGTGAACTTTTCATCACTAAAATGATAAATGTCGATTATTTGAATTAAATGGCCGCTAAATTATCATTTCATAAGTCTACTAGTCAGTTATAGGCTGTTACTGTCATGTTTCTTCAGGGAAATCAACCGAAAACTTACCATATAAACATCAAATATTCGAATATATAAACAGTTGCTAAATAAATGTCATTAAACAATGAAGAAAATAATCCATAGTTAATACATTAATTGGAATTTATCAATCATTCAACCATATACAGTAATTACTTTAAGTTCCGTAAATGTGAGGACGGTTCATAGATGAATCCGAGGAAGCTTTAAGCAGCTCAGAAAGAACCGAAGAATATTCCAGAATCCCTACATGTAGCTTCCTTATTAGACATATTCTAATAACTGTGTATGCAGATTGGAGGAGTATAATGATGATTTCGTTTTTACTCATAAACTATAAATAGTTGACATTTCTGTACCATAAAATGACACTGTTTAGAATAATATTCTTTTTCACTTGTTTTCTGTCATCTCATTTACGACATGAGAGAGTTCTACCGTTCGAGTTCTCAATTTATACATGGTATTAATAAGAAGAAATTAAGCTCTAGCATATTATAACTGACAATGAAGATAACTTATCAAAGATTCATCATATAATAATCATAACTTACTATAATATTGTTCTGATGATGATGATGATGAGGAGGAGGAGGATGAGAATGATCTTTTTAAACGATTAATTGGTGTATAAATTCCACGTATAGAACAAACACGTTTAAGATTTTTTAAAAATTCATTACCACACATACGTATTGGATAATCCATGATGGTTATATAATCTGTATTTAATGATAATAAACTTTGTGTTGTATTATTCAAATGAATTTCTATGGAATTTTTTATTAGAAATAAATGTAAAAAGAAAATTGTCAAGATAAAATAAAATATTTTTTTCATTTTTTTTCTTTTTCTTTTTGTTGTTGTTAGTTGTTACTCGTTGTTTTATATTTGGATATAGAATTAGTTTTCTTTGAACATATGACGATATTAAAAGAAAGAATAGACACTAAACAAGATCTAAAATATTCAATAGGTATATTATGAAATATACTTTGTAGTTTGTTTGAAAATGAATATTCAAATCTTGATCCAGATCTAGATCCTGATCCAAATTCAGATCCATATATATATGTATATATGGTGATTTATGTATGATTGTCTAGATCACCGTTTTTTAAAAATAAACTAATATTTTAAAGTGCGCAATTCATTTTAAACCAATCAGAATTTTACTTTCAATTATTCACCTTAAAAAGAGAAAAAACAAAAGTGTCATAGAATATCATTAAAAGTCTATGTATTGGTACATATATATGTATGTCTGTTGTATATTTAAAACTGATTAGTCGTATGATAAAAACCAATTTTAGAAAAAAGTTCATTTAGTACATAAAGTACTTTTTCTATTCATTTATGTATCATTTATTTTTAAACTAAATAAATAATTAGATGATGAGTTGAGTAATTGAAATGAAAGATACATGGTTCAATTCATGATATAAATAGGTCAACATTAAGAGATGTGTACATTCAGTTAACGAAAGGACAATCTTTGGTACCATTACTAATCACGATCCAAATTTGTTTTAATTATATAGTCTTTGAAAACACTAAATATCTGAACAAAGATAAATTCTCTTCAGATTCTACAAATCGTATATCCAAATTAATAATCTAAAAAAGACCAGGTTAAGAGCAAAGTAGATCATTTAGAGTTACCGCATATGAAGCACTCGAGCTCGAAACTGATAGGTCCTGTGTTCGAATCCAGCGGTGTGCGATCATGGATGTGCACTGCTGAGGAGTCTCACAGTGAGACGAAACGCCTATCCAGTGCTTCCAGGTTTTCTATGGTGATCTAGCTTCAATCAACTCATGCACTCAATTATTAACTTACTATAATATCCACAAAACCCTTTCTCAAATTAGAATTGTTATACAAAATGTTGGTATGACTCATATAGAATGTTAACTTGAATCAGTTTATATGTGAAGCGGACATTTAAGATCCATGATAAGAATAAATAAAGGTCAGATAGGGTGAGAGAAAAATTAGTGCAAGTAAATTTAGATCAAACGTTTAATGAAAGACTACACTGCGTGAAAAATTATTAGTAAGACGTAATAAGTTGGGATGAACGAGAAGCAAATGGATCATGTATTGAGGAGATTAATAATAATGAGGTTTAACGAATAGTAAAAATAATAATAATACAAAAATTTGCGAAGAAAAATAGCCGAGACAATTAAATTTGATTACGAACAGTAAGTACAGTAGTCAAATTACGTCATTCAATAGCTAAGATTACTATTGATTAATTGACCTTGAGGTTGTCCAAGGGAAAATAACAGGTTGAAGATAATTCTTTTGTACTCATAGCTCCATTTTTTTCATCCGGATGGCTACTGCTTCAACCGTTTGAAAGACTTTAAGTCTGACAACCTTTGGCAAAAATTTACTGACCCGATAAATAATTGAAAAGGATTGGTTTATACGGGTACTATGACCAGATTTCACGAAATGGGTTAATATTGAACTGTTCACATTCTTCACCGGACCTTTGCTTAGCCACGCTGGAAAGTGCTCGCGTTCACGAAAATGTAAATTCCTAGGACTTCGACCAATATAACTTGCTCCACAGGAGCAGTCGAACTGACAAATACAAATTGAGGTGGTCATTCTAGGTAATTCATCTTTTAGTCTCGGTGTCACCATTGAGCGCGGAGAAAACACTAATGGAAGTTCTCCGGTGTTAAAAGATTTTTGTATTGCCCTGTGTAATCTCTGAGTTAATATTTCACTAACCAGCATCCCTTCTGTATTGTAGACGTGTGAACAGGGATTTCTTCTTCACCGTTTGTATTTCGCCTATTTTCACCTTCGTGATCATATATTTAATTATAAACTTTCTAGGGTAACCGTTGCCCCTAAGAGCATTATGCAACGCGTTAAGCTCATCTTCAACTATATCCACAGAACATAAAGTACATATTCAGAAACTAAAAGTTTTGATCAAGTTTCGTTTGTACTGTAGAGGTGCAAAAGTTAATGATTTGCAATCAAATTCCTTTTAAAATATCACCACATTGATCCCAGTCTATGTTTGGTCAATTTATGAGATTTTAATAGTTGAGATTATGAGTCAATTAAAGATGAACCACCATGGAAAACCTGGAACCACTGGACAGCCGTTTCGTCCTATTGTAAGACTTCCTCAGAAGTGCGCATCCACAACCCGCTTGCGAGATTTGAACCCAGGATCTATCAGTCTAACGCGCAAACACTTGACCTCTAAACCACTGAGCCGTCTAACTTCAGCTAATCTACGAGGAGTCCCGCAATAGGACGAAACGGTTGTCCAGTGCTTCCAGGTTTTCCATGGTGATCTAGCTTCAATTGACTCGTGATCTCAACTATTAAAATCACTATAATATCCCCAAAATTCTTTCCGAATTTATGAGATCATAATACTGTTAGAAATGATATCTGTTAGTATGTATAATACTGATATGTGAACTAGGTGAAAGGTTGACATAATAATTTATTTAACTGGGTACTAATGATATTTACACTTTATGGAAGCCCCCACTTTTTATAAAGTGATTTATTCTAGAGTTTATTTCAAACCGAGAAGAAGGAAAAGAATTCTACACCAGAAAGAATGATTATTTCATGTGGCTATGCCATCGTATTAAGTCATTATTTAAATATTAGTTTTTTTTCTTACAATTTTTAGACAAGTTAAGCACTAAGTATGTAGATGCATTATAGAAAAAGTCTTCATAAGCTGAATGTCATCTCATAATACTTCTTGAAATCGTTTTAACTGTGATTAATTGAGCAGAATTATATTGTTTCGTAATAGGACCTGATACTTATTACTATGGCTAAAAGTATCATGTTGATAATTGAGATTAGATGAATACTACTACTACTACTACTACTACTACTACTACTACTACTACTACTACTACTACTACTACTACTACTACTACTACTACTACTACTACTACTACTACTACTACTACTACTACTACTACTACTACTACTACTACTACTACTACTACTACTACTACTACTACTACTACTACTACTACTACTACTACTACTACTACTACTACTACTACTACTACTACTACTACTACTACTACTACTACTACTACTACTACTACTACTACTACTACTACTACTACTACTACTACTACTACTACTACTACTACTACTACTACTACTACTACTACTACTACTACTACTACTACTACTACTACTACTACTACTACTACTACTACTACTACTACTACTACTACTACTACTACTACTACTACTACTACTACTACTACTACTACTACTACTACTACTACTACTACTACTACTACTACTACTACTACTACTACTACTACTACTACTACTACTACTACTACTACTACTACTACTACTACTACTACTACTACTACTACTACTACTACTACTACTACTACTACTACTACTACTACTACTACTACTACTACTACTACTACTACTACTACTACTACTACTACTACTACTACTACTACTACTACTACTACTACTACTACTACTACTACTACTACTACTACTACTACTACTACTACTACTACTACTACTACTACTACTACTACTACTGTTATGTTATATTATGTTATATAATTCATAATAAACTTAAATTAAAACTGATTTTTTTATTTTCATTGTGACTAGACTTTATCAGTAATGATTATTACATTGGAAAATTCACGTAAGGTACATATCTGTTACTGATTAAATAATTAAACCTTACTTAGATACTTACACCTATTAAGTATATTGTTTAGTCTAATTGTATGCATTTATTTATAAAGGTATTTCTTGTTTCATAAAAGTGATTCATATAACAGAGTTAAGTTAAATCCCGATATCGATAAAATCAATCATTTTATGAAAACATTTTTTTGTTATGTATCTTTTGAATGTTTTGGTATTTTAATCACATTATTTTATTTATTTGAATACATAAATATTGATATAAAGGGGCACCGATTACGTATGTACCATACATGTAACTTATTTTGTGTGAATGCTACGATACTGCACGGGTGCCCAAACAAAAGCAGATAGTTTTTTAGGGCCCCCCTCAAGTTATTGACCTAAAGGTTTAATTTTCCATGCAGTGGGGCGACCTGAGGAGATGCATTCCCTTGTTAGCCGGTGACCAGCAATAGGTTCATAGGCCATTTATTCACTCAGGGTCCTGGAACCCATATGCACCACTGGTTTGGAATCAAGATTTTCCAACTCTCTTAGGTGAATTCACCGTATCCACCAACCCAATAAAAGCACGGGACATTCGCTTTTCGTCCTCTCAATTTCGTAAACAACATTAACGCCACAAAAAGGTAGTGAGTAGTATTTCTCTGACATTGGTTGCATACGAGTGGCCATGTGAGAACATTTGGAGCGGGAAAACTGACTCTCCCACCCTCGAACGTATCACGGTATTCGGGGGCTAATCACATTTCACAAAGAATAATTAAGATACGGAGTAAATTTTTTTATTAAAGAAGTGAAGATCGTTCTATGAAACTTTTCGTAATACTTTTCTCAAGTCATGAATGAATTACTGGGTAATGTTTATTTCAATTTACTAACCAGTGACGAATAACTAAGTATAATCAGCATTATTTACTACTTATTTCATATCAGTAACATGAATATTTCTCCAACATTTTGAGGTATACGGTAAAAATTTTGAGAGGATGCAATAGAATAGATACATTTCATGACATTGAATATTTTCATCATATTATACTAAGTTTTAAACAACTTATTAAAATACATTTAAAATATTCGGATTAAACTGAATTTAATCGAGCTATAAAACATTTTTTGGGATACAAATTACAACTGCTTGAAAGTTATTCAAGAAACACTTTTTCCAGAGAATATTTACGATTCCACTAAAACTGGAAGTTATATGAAATAATTTACATACCGTTACCCAATTCACTTATATTCCTATTTCAAGGTTTTATTTAATTGTTCAGTTGACAATTGTATTTGTTCTTGTTGGGTTTATCGAAGCGTCCAAGTCACCCAATCGAGATGCATGCAAAAAAGAAGTTAGCAAAACAATGATTTGTCTAAAATAGCGTTTCTTCATAGAATAATACACAAAAATTTGTTACAAACCTGGACTTATAAGATGTCTACGGTGTTTAACGTGTACTTTTGTATGAATAAAAATGGCTTCGATAGTACAAAATACAGCTGATAGCTATATCTAAACTTGGTAACAGTATACCAACAAGCAAAATCCGTATCAAGAGCAAACAATGTAGAAACCATTGCGTTCAAACGAAGGTTAAATCAATTCACAAAATTGTGAATAACTGCGACAGTGATTGAGATAAAGTGATTATAATGATAAGTACAAAAAACGTAACAAGTATATGGTAATATTTCAGGATATTACACGACAAACTTGCACTAAGAAATAAGCTTAGAAATTGCTAAGAATACACTAATTTACTGAATATTAATAAGTAGTATAAAACAATACACAAATGAGTTGTGGTGAAGTAAATAAGGGTAGAGAATATAAAACAGACTTAATAGTTCCTCTTTTTATCGTTTAGTATTCTTTATTTTTACCACAATTTAGAAACTTATTTCAAATAAACGTCTTATCGTGTTTGAAGAGCGATTCCTAATTTGCGTTCACTAATCACCCACTTTATATAAGTTGAAGCACTGAATTCAGACAAAGAGGTGGCTGCAAAGTTGCTTCACATTCCATCCAGTAGGATTTGGGAAGAAAAACAAGCGCCGACATACTGGAAAGAAGGATATCTGATCAAGACACCAAAGAAAGGAGATCTCAGAAAATGTGAGAACTACAGAGGCACTACACAACTATCGGTACCAGAAAAAGATTTCAAAAGTGTGTTCCTGAACCGGATGAAAGATTCAGTAAACGCCCAACTTCGGGGTCAACAGGCATGGTTCCGTAAGGATCGGTCGTGTGCAGACCAAATTGTGACACTACAGATCATGGTTGAACAATCATTTGAATGGCGCTCGTGACCATGCATCAACTTCCCTGATTTTGAGAAAGCATTTGACATTGTCAATAGGAGGACCTAATGGAACCCTCCTTTACATGATTGTGAATATGATACAATCGTCAACATTGCAATGGCTGGCACTATTGCAAGCCCACATGTCATCCTAGCTTCAGGACAAACCAATTTATTCATTACTGTCGAGTCACATTTCGACCTTGTTACTTATTTGCTTATCAACCCTAACAGTTTTTATATGATCATATATGTGTCAATTGGTTGCTCTGTTCATTACGTGCCTGCAACTTATTTTTATCTGAATATAAATGTTGAAATGGCTCACTCACCTTTTCCGCTGAGCGTCACTTTGCTCCTCTTATTATCTGTTCAGACCAACGATTGTATTAAATATACGTATTCAAAATTTATTCTCGTATTTGCCTTATTTAATTCCGTAATTAACTAACTCGGTTTAAGTCGATAATTATATACAAGGGTTAGCAGTGAGTATATTTTGATTTGGAGTCAGATATATGCCCATTAAAACATAGCATGGAATTCATACGACAGACCTCACTGTGAAACAATGCAGTGAGAGCAGCTCACAGATGGATTTTAACTGAAAACCAGTTTAAGACATGGCTGCTTATGCCTATCATTTCTCTTTCTTCTTCTAATGTTCAACAGGATTATGAACACTACATCTCACAGGAAGCACGGAATACAATAGATATCTTGGATGCAACTAGACAATTTGGACTTCACAAAAAACTAAAATCTTCTATCCCATACACATCAACAAATGCAGGTCAAGACATCCCGTGTAGCAACAGCCTCTGTCTGAATCATTAGGCTTCAACACAAACAAGGGGAAAACCAATATCCTTATATATAACACAAGTAACATCAACGCAATCACAATTGATGGAGAACCTCCGGAAGAGACGGAAAATTCCATATATCTGGTCGGAATCATCGATAAACAAGGAGAACCTGATGTAGATGTGAAGACAGACTGGCAAAGCAACATCAACATGTTGGGATATTCAGAAAAGTATACCAAAAATTATCCTTTAAGTCTAATGGTGTCCTTGGACTTTAAATGGATATTTCCTATTGGTCAATGTTTATTTCACTTGTCAAATATTGTACAAATGTTGTTTTCTATTTTATGGTACGACGTGCCCTGGTTGATTAGTATATAAACAGAGTATGTCTGAAATATAATGATTCATATCTCAGAGGCTGAGACTTGCGTTCTGGACTTTACTGGGTGAGCTAGACAGGGAAGCTGGACCAATCAGGACTTTAGGTCGTTCTTACGTGTTTGCGCGTCTTTGGTCCGATCGATAGTTCGTTGCTCATCCAATTTGCAGTCAAAAGTCATAACAAAACATTCCTACGAATGAAGAATATCTGGAACTCAAAATAACTGACTGCCAGGCAACACAAGAGTCAGAGTCTTCAATTCAAACGTAAAGACAGTTCTATTGTACGGAACTGAAACCTGGAGAACAACTAAGACTATCATCAATAGAAGTACAGGAACGTATGACCAATTATCTACAAGAGATATTGAGTGTTGGTTGGCCAGATACCATCAGCAACAACCTAGAATTAATATAGTAAGCTGAGAGTACTATTTCTTCATTTCTGATATTTAGAGTGATGACTCTAGGGTCTCAAAAAATTTAAGCACATCCTATATTATATTTCATTCCTTTTTGAAGAAGGAATGCTTTCGCTTTGGTAAATGGTTGTTTTGTTTTGTTTGCTACACACTGTCATTTTTTTCTGCTCCATTTAGTGGCTTGAAAATTTTAATTAGTTCTTATTTGAGTTTCTTTTGTGTATGTTAAGTTTGTCTTACATTATTCCTACTCGCTCCCTTCCCACTCCTCCGTATATCGTTTTATACTACTTATTTACATACAGTAGGCAGTTGTATTCTCAACAATTTTCAAACTTATGTTGTAACAAGTTGCAGTGTAATATTCTGAAATGTTCACATATACTTAAAACGTTTATTGTACTTATCATTGTATTTATCATTATAATTACTGTACCATAATCGCTGGGGCGGTTATCCACAGTTTTGTGCATTCGTTTAAATGCAACAGTTTCCATAATGTTTTGTTCTTGATTCGGGTTTCGGCTGTTCATAAACTTTTATCGAATTTAGACACAGCTATTAGCTGTCCTTTGTACTATCGTATGTTGTAATTATTCTTTATGTTACTGTTACAGAAAGCCTTTTTATTTCATACTTGAATGATGCGTTTAAACGCCCCAGACACCTCAAGAGTTGAGGTTTGTAACTAGAATTTGTGTATTATTCAATAAAGAACCGCTATTGTGAACAAGTCGTTGTTTTGGAAACTTCGGTTTTGCATGTATTTAAATCGGGTGACTTGGACGATTTGATAGATTTAACAGTGTCCATTATGTTTTTGCTTGATTTGTCAGTAAGAGTTTTGAAGACTGTTAGATGTTCTCTTGTAAATTGAGAGAATGATTTAAAGAAAATGAATATGATGAATCTAAAGCAAAAAATAACTTTTATAATCAGAATCTAAGAGAAGATATAGGGTGAGTAGATTTGTACCACTG